AACCACATACACAACAAAATGGGTCAACAAGTGGGGTAGTATCAAACACTGAGAGCTCCAGGAAGCGAGCCGGAATAACTGATGACAATGGCAATGTACTGTATGAGGTAGCACGATCGTGAAGCAGGCACGGCGGACACTTCACACAGAACCACAGAGATGCACAAAAGTGAAGAGAAGGAGGAAACAAACACAAGAGAAGTCACAGAAAGATAAGAAAGAAATGTATACACACTCGAAGGGCTGTGTGGCCCTGATCCCATGCATTCGCCGAGGGTCATACCAGTTTCAAGGAAGAACCTGTCACTCGAGATATACAGAAAAGGTACGAGAGGGCAGGAAGGTGAGGTTGGTGAGCAAGTCACGGTCGAAGCAGAGATAGAGAGGCTGGTCGAGAGAGAGAGGACCAAAGGGGGTGTGACACGACATGCGACGCGTAAACGCACACTTAGATGAGACGTGCTATCGCGGTAGTCGAGCACGCCAACCTACTGGTATCACGAGCTGTAGCGTTCGAAAGAGCCCGGAGGGTAATTTTAGTATTGACAGGAGGGAGGGAGATGGACAAAATAAAAGCAAGACTGAGTATGAACGGCACCTTGTTTGAGAATGCATGGCGCTGACACGAAAGAGAAGTCGCTCAATCGTGTCGCCGGCGCCGCTGATACGTTGTGTGAAGCCCAAATGCGATTGCAGATCTGATGAGTCATGTACCTGTGATTCATAGAGACGAAACCGTGAAGACAAAGCAAGATTTGGTGAATGAGAAAAGGCGCGATGCCACTCATGGGACGCACTGTATCCCTTCGTGGGCACACATTGTCTGTGCTCTGAGACAATGAGATGAAGTGTCGAATGGGAAACGAGGAGGGGACGTGAGAGAGCAGGAGAGAGCATAACGACCGTGGTGGTGGAAGGAAAGGAAGGGCGCGACAAACGCAAGGCAAAGCGTCAGCCGGAGTCGCGTCGAGCACCAGCCATAGCCTGCCCTAAAGTGCCACGTGACTCCGTTGATCTGCGTTGGCGAGTCGCGCCGCTCCTCTCGTTCTCTCCTCTCTTCCTCTCCTTTCACCTCTCTTCCATCCCTATCGTTCACGTCAAAGTCGAAGATGACTTCGTCTGGCGATACCTTGACAGCCATCCAAAGAAGTAACTGACGCACTCCCAGCAGAAACAATCGCGGAAGACAATCATTTTCAAGCGAGACGGAGGTCAAGGCGGAGAAGATTGAGAGACTTGAGAGGCTAGCGAAGAGGGTGAGAGGCAATGCGCATGTGAGTGATAGTGGAGATAACGGTGCGTCACCATATTCTATGAACGCCAAGAGGTATGACTCGTCGTAAGTTCCTCCGTACTTGCAGTGGCTGCCTCTCCCATCGTTGTCCGTCTTGATGACCATCTCACATTGGTTTTACGCCTCAAAGTTCGTGTCGCTCATCCATGCTAACCAACTCGAATTAGTCTTGAATTCCTTGTAGGCTGTTGCTAGAGGTGTGTCTTTCTTTGTAGGTATCATGCTCACACTCCTTTCCCGTGTGTTGACTAGGCTATGGGTCATGACCATCGACACTGAACGCGTACGAGATGCGTCATCGTGCGCTTAGCTTCTTCGCAATGCTTTCGGTCAATGATGTGCGTCGTTTCTCGCATTTTGTTTCTCTCTTACACTTCCCTGACTCTTTCATATCCTCATACACACATGCTAATATGTGCGCCAGTGCTTCGCCTCGACCACCGAGAGACAACAAGTAAGTGGAGGTGACCGAGTGTGCAGGTTTTCGAATCGTGCCCGGTTCGTCCCGTCTCATTTCTTTTCGCCTTCTATTTCTTTCTTTCGGCCTTGCGTATTACGTCCGCCATGTCAAGGACAGTCAAGCCCTGTCTTGAACTTACAATCATCCTTCCGCACCATTGATATGTCTGACACTGGCGACGCGCCAGCGTGCGCCTGTCTTGCGCGGTTGAGAGTTATCATAGCTCCTTGTACTGTACAACGCTTGTCTCTTTCTCTTTAATTTTAGACCTATTATGTGAGGCTTAGTCGTTACCTACTACGGATCTGTTCGTGATGTTGTTCAGTTGAGACCAGCATGTATATATGTATGTATAGTCACTGTGACCCCGGTATCTGCAATCCCAAATGTTTTGTGGCACTTTTTTGAGTGTACAAGAGTGCAAATCATGATGAATCCCTAGGTCTAACCAAGAAAACCATGAGGAAAGACATCTAAGAATATGCTCAAAGTATCGATAAATGTTCAATAACTTTAAGGGGACCATTCTAAAATGCATACTTGCAGTTTAGCGATACTTCTCTATAATCATTGATAAGTAGCTCCGGAGGGTTTTCCTGATGTAACGTCACTCTCTGTAGCGGTAAAAGATGTTGATGCTGATTTCGACAATGTGTTGTCCGATATAGCTGATAGCTTCGCAGACGATGATCAAAGCGACGCAATTTTAGCTCCTTCGACCCCCGACTTTTGCATATTTTTGCGTCGATTTGTGGCTGCCTTTCGGGCAACCTACATAGGAGTGTCCCGGGCCCTATTGGTGTCTTCTCGGTTTTCGACCCGGTCTTGACCCTTACCACTGAATTCGTCGCCAACCCGTGTTAGACCAATAAGGCGTAATAGGATGCTCCTCGATTCTTATCCTTTATCTTTCGAGACAACTTACTTGTCTTGTGCTCTCGGCGAACCGTTCATTCACATACTACTTACTCCCAGTGGCGTGGCAACTTCGACACGCGTCGAAATCCCTTGTTCCACGAAGGCTGATTGTATTGCATCTCCTTTCCACCAGGCGATGTGCGTGCAGCACCTGGCTGTGATGGGGTCAAACGAGGCTTAATATCGGAGAGCACAATATTTGTTCGAGCAGTCCGCTTCGTGGACTCAGCATTCCGCATAATGACAGAGATAAGTAGTTGATATTGCAGGAGGGTGCTGGTGAAATACCTGACCGTACCCGCGATTCGTGAACATCATGATCACTGTGTTCCTCTCTCGATGTACATAGCAATGCGTATAATTTGCTGGCTCTCGAACCTTGCAGCTGTTCACCTCTTCGTCTTGTTCTCTATTCATGTTGTCAACATCTCTATCGTTGAGAGCGCTCAGAACGGCGCCCCATAACGTGCACTCTCATACCCTCGTTTCTCTGCTAATCTCAGAAACAAATAATACCGATTTCTCATTCATCGGAAGCACGCGTCGACGGCCCGTATTGACAGCGACACTTACAAAAGAGACCAGGCCAGGCTTTGTCGTTGTAAGGCAAGACGGTGCCAGCAACGAAAAAGAGGACAAGGCAGAAGATTACGAACACCACAATAAGACCGTCGAAGGCAATTTTGGTGCCAGCGCAAGGATTAATGCAGCTCCAAAAAATTTCCAAACAGTTGGTGCGTCGCTTGGGCTTGTTGCTTGTCTTGTCATCAGCTCTCGGCCACCCAACTCACCCCGAGTTGTACTAGGCTCTCGAACTAGATTTCATCCTCGACGATTCTAGTTCCTATATGTGATTTAAGCCATATGGGGCTCGTGCTGTATCTCATGCTCCACGCCTTCTCATCCAGCTCCAGTCCTCAAGCACTCCTCGATGCTCTTGTCCTAGTACGCTTAAAGAGCCGTTTAGGTATAGACTATCTGGACCGTCTCTACAAAAACATGCTTTTGATAAAATCCTGTTGAAATTGTATACAAATCCGATAATCGAACCAGGGCAGCTAAAGTAGATAAATTAGACCTCAAGCATGCTGCAATTAGGAAGAATCAGACATGACAGCGGGCTTCATTTAACCCAAAAAGATACTATACATTGGCAGCTAAGGATAAAAAAACACTATTGGGGTGAAGTATGTTGATGCCGCTCATGCAAAGATGTACATACCCTGACAGCGAGACTTGACACTTGCACTTGGAGTCTCCAACTGGGAAGTCGAGACTAACTTAGTACCTAAGTACTTGTGTGATCAAGAGGCTCACCGGTCTCATAATTTTTTGTGAGATAATTCCGAAAGTGAAAACTGACTAAGCTACATGTCATTGCAGGAGAAATTAACGCGGACATTGCAGGGATGGCGGGCAGGACAATAACGACGAAGAAGAAACGGCATGAAAGGACACGAACTGTGTTCGCGCCACACGAGATCTTATCGGACTTTGCCGGAGAACCGGGATGCTGTGCACGTTGCCTATCAACGCGATTCGCTGCTGACGCGTCGTTCCATCTTTGCTCTTGACTTCAACGTCGCTCGACGAGGACCAGCAAGATCCCTTCTTCGCAATCAAGGCGAATCCGCACGATATCCTGTGTCACGCCCAATGTCTCGCCCTTTCGCCACAGACCATGTTTGCGCGACTGGCAGACTCTCCAACCGGTAATAATACTTTCCTTGACAGATTCGGCAGACGAGCACGAGAGAGCGGCCGCTTTGGAGGTGCGAGGAGACGACGGTGGGGAAGAGGCTAACATATGCTTACTGATAGGTGAGTGAGATCGCGCTTCGGTCTACATGCTTCTTTCCTCACCCGTCTTGTGCAGTTTTATTTCAGGTGCATCCGTGCGAGTAAGCTCAAGACAACCGACGCCTTGATTATCCACACTCGGGCACGACGACGAATCCGGCCGACGACTGCAATCGAGCAAGACATCAAGACCAGGCGGTGTTCTCTAGGGTCTCTTGGGCTGGGTCTCTGGGTCTGCTGTGTCTATTGGTCCGCTGTGTCTCTTCGTCTGATAGTTCTTGTGGGCATGATACCTAGGCTTCTGGACTGGGGCTGGTCTGGTTAAAGCTAGGCGACATCGACATCGACATCGACACCGAGGCGCGAACTGGGGCCTTTTTGGCTGCGTATCTGGGTCTGCTGGGTCCTAGGTCTGCTGAGTCTCTTCTTCTGCTGGGTTTCGTGGGCTTGATCTCTGGGTTGCTGGGCTAGGGCTGGTCTTGCTAAAGCTGGGCGACATGATCGACCTCACGAAGGAGATCAAGTACGATGTCGACACCAAGCTCCAACGAGCTTCAAGACCGATCTCCTGGGATAGCGTCGTCCGGGCGGGCTGAGATGAAGGGCGCGAGGAACGCCTCGGCGGTGTTCAAGTGTGTGGCATTCGACGGCCCAAGCGTGAGTTGCGGACCCGGAATGACGAGCGTCGCGCTCACGCCCTTAAGTCATCTGATCGTCGACGGCAAAGAGAGCCCCGAAGCGATGGGGAGGATGTGGATGGCCTTACCGGTGAAGAAGCGGGAGGTGGATGATATCAGGTCGAGCTCGAGTGAGGGCGATTTTAGGAGCACGCCCGAGACGCCGTTCCGGACTTTTTCCAGAGACGGCGTTGGCGGAAGCGACACTGAGGAGCAGGGCAGGATGCGTGAGGCCGGGAGGAGGCCCATCAGTCTCAGGGCCCATGAGAGCGGGACGATCACTTTTTGGGCACCGTGGTCGAGCCAGGCTCAAGGTCGACTGAAGTATGTCGTCGAGGAGGATGTACCGGTTCGTGTGCTCCGAGTGCGCATCGTCTGGTTCGTGCAGGGTGAATAGCCTTCGGCCACGCTATTGATGATAGTTTGCTGTGCTCCATCCATGTTAGGGATAGACTATGTAGTGTATTGTATCATTTTGTATGTATGATACCATGAATCTATGTTGATTGTTGTTGTACTGCCGTCTGCATGTCGTGTGCTACGGGGGGGTCTATGACCCAATTTATGTGGCACCGGGCCCAGGTAAGTTCACACTTATTATGTCTTTGAACAAAGGGGGGTCCGTAATAATCAAAACATTATCTATTAGTCTAAAACGGTCTTTTCGAGGTCAAGTACACATAAGTACAGGAAAAATAGCACAAGAATGACTTAAAAAGCAAAGGAGTCTTTTCGTGATGGTGGCGTGCGTAAAGTATATTGCCGTACCTTTTCTCCTTGTTCTTGATGTGATCTTATGAGAAGCTGCATGATGTGATGCATTATTCAATCGGATAGTTCCACGCCACACTCTGTGTCCCCTCTTTATCACCGTCAAGATAGCTAAAGGCGGACAACCCCTTGTTCCTAATGTATCCAAGACGGATTCTGAACTTCTTCGCGCCACTATCGGATTCAGTGGCTCACAGAGACGACGTAGGTGAGGTAACCGCTTCCTAGACTCCTTTCCATATCGTGGATTGTCAGTAACACGCCATCGCGAAGACTGTGGGCGGATCGGCTTGTGCTTGCTGTGGGACATTGGTTCGTGAGATTTCCTTTTGTCTCCTTTCGTAACTTCCTGAACATGAGGTGTCCACGATCGTCCGTCCCATCGCATGCCTCCAACTAGTTCATTGTACCCTTTGTCGGAATGCACCATGTTTTCGTCCTAGGGTGGGCTTTCGGTGCACGTCAGCACTCTCTGGCTATATAAAGCCGCTTACCCTCGCCCTGAAGATGGCATCTTCGCAGCATCTCTTTTCCTCATCATCCAACGGAATAATCGCCTCCTCCACATACTAAGCCAATGTGAACACAATTACGACTTTCTATACAAATTATAACTAATCCTCTTTTCTTCGAAGCATGCTGACTTTCAATGAGGAAATGGACAAGGCTAGGATGGAAGCTGAAACCGCGCCCGATTTCCCCTCCCTTACCCCGGGGTCCGCTTCCGTATTGGCACCTGACATCCTTCCCGTCAACCTCGTCGTACACCGGGACCCCAACCGGGGCGTGCTTCACTTCTGTGTTGTCTGGGAAGCTTACGACAAGAGCAGCCCCCCGGTGCATAATGGCTACAAGGTCATTGAGCTCAGAAACAACCCTGACCTGGAAGCCGCAAAAACGAACCCCTACCTATTCCGATTCAGCTTTCGGTCCATAAACAGCCAGAGTATCGCGCATTGGAATTGGACATATTTGGGACATTATAACGCGGATACCCGCATGGGATTCCTCAGCGCCTTCAAGCAATGGGAGCCGAAGAAACCGTTTGGCAATTGCATCACATGCGTCTTTGATGTTCTAAAATACTTGGCGGACCAGAATATCCTCGGTAATATAACGAACGCTGGGTTGCAGACGATCCTCGAGGACCAACGGGTGCTTGACCAGAACAATCGTGCTTTTGATAAATACTACGAGACGAACTCGAGAGCCCCGACATGGGATGGACCCTAGGCGGAAATGGAGTGAAGAGACAGGATTAGACAAGCTCATCCGACGAGTCTCAATGGCACGAGATCGGGCACAGAAATAGTTCCGTAATTACATTGTATTTGTTGTATATGCTTCTCCCCGTCCATCAATGTGTTGTCGTTTTTTTGCTGTACCGTTTGAGGCGGTTCGCCATTTTTTTTGCGACCGTGTCCAAGATGAAAAAGCGTAGATCTTGCCACTCCAGCATGCTGTAGAGTTGCGCGACAGACCGAAAATTGTACCGTTGTTTTCCATTTTTGAGAGACGCGGAAGATGCTCCTTCACAGAAACGCTTCGCAAGATCAGCAGGACCTGTGATCTTTCTGAGTGACTATACCCGGCAGGTGATATGGCGAACCAAACCAAATGGTCCGGTACAGGTTGAGGTTTCCACCATCAACTGTACGGTTCGAAGCGCGGGAAGCGCGGACTCGTTCGGCGTTCGCTTATCATCAGACGGCACGTTTCGTCCTTGTGCCTGATGAGGACAAAAGGGCTCACCGAAGTGCCACTTTTGTCACTACCAGCCTCTGTTCCTTGTAACCGTTTTGGAACAATAAAAGAAACTGCTATAAGTACTGCAGTCATCTCTTATCTCTTCTCGCTCTACAGAATCTCTACCTTTCCACCTGCTCCTCAATCATGCCCGGTTCCTTCCAAAAAATTTTCGCTCCGTTCCCGCACGATCTGAGCGATGTTCTGGAGCGAATATCATCGGGACGTCTCACATCAGCAAACCAGGAAATTTCTCATAGGGATACTATAGAACAGATATTGTTGGAGAGCATTGAGAGCTACCATATCAATGTTAGCAACTTATGGATCTCTTGTTCCTATGTATAGTGGCAATATCTCCTATAGCTCTCAGTGCTCTCAGAGCTCTCAGAGCTTCTATAGTCATTTTCCACCCAACTAATATTGTTTTGGATTAGGGTTTCTTCTATAGGATCATCACACTAATCAGGAGACAAAGAAAGATTATATATTCACTACAGTAGGGTACAGATACATGACAACACTGTGCTACAGTAAATTACATGAAAAAAATCCCTGCCAATTACTAACCTACATAAGTCCTGTTGGAAGAACATAGAATCAGATTCTATTCCTGAGTAGATAGTATGAAGAATAAACTTACCAATGATCTAAGAAGAGGCCAGAGATCTCTACACACATAGAAAACAAAGAAGTGAGAC